CAGACAGCAGCGAGCAGCAGCAGCAGCAGCCAGCAGCAGCAGCAGCAGTAGCAGAGTGGTAGTAGAACAGAAGCAGCAGCCGCAGCAGCAGCAGCAGCAGCAACATCACTAGCAGCAGCATAGCAGAAGTAGTAGCAGCAATCAAACAAAAAGTTACTGTCACGCTTGTATAGTGTAAACCAAAACTATTGTTCGAACGTGTGTAGTAACATGTTAACATGTACGTGTGTGCGTCAACGGGCATGCTGCTTAATACGTCATCGTAAAGTCATTAATCAATGGTAAAAACTGGGTTAATTTAAAAAAAATCAAATATTTTATTATCTATAAGATAACAATGACAACCTTTCCAACACGTCAAAAAATACACCATTGATGTTTTCTTATTCACACATTATTATAGTTCTACACCTGAAAAAACACGTTTTCATGCGATTCTTCATACCGTCACCCTCGCATTTAAATTTTTATATAGAAACCCATTCCAAGTGTTCCCATTACAGGAGATTTGATGCTTCATATATCATATATTATTTCTTTTTGTCGTATGCCACTGCGGCAGGTATGAAAGATTCACAGTTTTCACTGGCAGGTGCCAACGCGTGCAGGCTCTCATATATTATATTATAATATTCATGCTTTACATAAAGCTTGCTCCCAGTAATAACGATCATATAATAATAATAATCATAATAACCTATCATATACCAGAGTATATATATATATATATATAATATATATATACATATAAACACATGTAAACAAGAAAGGTAACCACTCGTGAAAAAGGGCATGCACCTTTAACGGCACACTATCAAGCATAGAAACAACATAGATAGATAGGCCATATAGATATATAGATATGGATGAATACAAGCCTTCTTTATACGCTCTTGATGATATATAGATAGTCTATCTATATTATTCCTATGCTATCAATATCATATAACTCAGCTTAACTAGACAGAGGGCACTCACGGAGAGTGCATACCTCCGCCAGCATGTAACATGTATGTCTACGAGCTGGCTCGCCGCTCGCTGCTGGCTGCTGCTGACTGACTCGCCTCCTGCTGCACTCGCCGCCTCGCTGGTGCGGCTGCTGACTTGCCGCTCGCTGGTGGTTGCTGCTGACTCACTTGCCCGCTGCCTGACTCGCCGCTCGCTGACTCGACGCGCTATCGATCGCGCCGCGCGGACTGGACCACACACACACAACACACACATCACACACACACACACACACACACGAACCGATTACATTACCTCCGCTCCACTCCTGTGAGAGGTAATAACCTGTAACCCCCTCACACACGGACTCTCCACGGGAAGCCAACTGCGTATGTTGGTAAGCAGTCAGAACTATGATTTCTCCGTGAGAAACTCTGTCACCATTTTGATTGAACTCGGTGTGCGTACTTGAAATGTAGATTGTGCTTACCGTCGCGCAGGGGACGAGTCTGCAACAACGCACAAAAATAAAGAACAATATAGTAACCAAAATACGCTTCAAGCCTTCAACCTTCTTGTTACCAGTACAAAGATGGAACTTCAAAAAAAGATATTGAAGAATCGCGCGCGGCCATTTTAAATTTTCCATTGTTACAGCAGTTACGGAAAAAATTCATCTTGCCACTAGTATCGAAAATCATTTAGTATACCCTTAACTTCATTCACGCCAATTTTTGGTGCTTTTCCCACAAAACCTCCAATTCGTCTAAATATTGACACATATCTGCCCCACTACAGTGTTATATTTATAGCAGAGAGCTAACCATATTCCATATTTGCATGATGACCTTTCCCCTGAACATGATCCTTATTAGGTGAAGGCAGGACTTGTGTGGATCGTCGCTACCATCTTCAGCTGCTTTACTTTATGCCAACAGAGGCTGTGCGTATATGTGGTGTGGTGTGTGTGTGTGTGTGTGTCGTGTGCGTGCGTGCGTCGCGTGCGCGGTGTGTGCGTGTGCTGTGCTCGTGTGTGTGTGTGGTGTGTGTTTGTTTGTGTGTATGTGCGCGCGTGTGCGGTGCGTGTGCGCGTGCGCGGTGTGTGTGTGGCGTGCGCCGTGCGTGTGTGCGTGGTGTGTGCGCGTGTGTGTGTGTGTGTGCGTGTGCGCGTGCGTGTGTGTGTGTGCGTGCGCGCTGCGCGTTGTTTGTGTGTGTGCGCGCGCTACTGGGCAACCACAGCAACAATCAGCACAGACATAATAGAGATTCTCTATATGTACTCTTGATATCATCACAGGCAATCCTTGGATCGCAGGAGCCTCGAATGTACGTTATGTTGTAACCTCGATCAATTAGCGAGCAGCTGCGGCCAAATTCATCAACGTGCGACACACACACACACACACATACATACACACACACACACGCACACACACACATACATACACACACACATACATACACACACACACACACGCACACACACCCACGCACGCACGCACACACACACGCACACACACACACTATACACACACACACATACATACACACACACACACACACGCACGCACGCACACACATGCACACACACACACACCACACATACATACACACACACACACACACACACACACACACACAAACACACACACACACACACACACGCACGCACGACACACACGCACGCACGCACGCACGCACGCACGCGCAGCCGCACGCACGCACACACACACACACATCACACACACACACACACACCTACGTATACAACATGGTACACAGCACCCGTGGTTGATATTAACGGCCCCTCGCTACCTAGGGGACGAAACTGATGACAACACAAGCGCGCCTTGCCACCAACAAATGCGTCCGTCAGTACACACTACGGCTCCCACGCCACGTTTCTTCCATAGTGCCATACGTAAGGGCTGACGTTTCAGTACACGCACGCATGCGCGATGGCTAATATTGATCCAGTGCCAGACAGTATCAGCCGCAGGCGACTCTGTGTTTAAGGAAATTAAGCTACTACACCCGGTTTATATATTTAGTATTGACATTATTCAGAACCCGTGTAACGTGTGCAGTACACAAGCAGATTAAGCGCATTTTCACGTTGCTTGGGTGATGCAGAAACAGTGGAAAGACAAACATTCCGAGATGACATAATCATTTCAGCACCGCATTTCAGTAGTCAGTCTGGCAGAAGTGTAGTTCAGACTGTAAAATCAATACTTGAAATTTCTGAGAAATTGGAAAATCTTTCGAATATTGAAACCTTTAGAATTTTTTTAGTATATTTTATAAATTTTCTTTTATCACTGCAGTGCACACTATATACAACAAGGAAAGTGGACCAGTGTAGTACAATGGATCGGCTGGCAGGTTTGAACCGTATAAAAGGTTGAGAAAAACCCAGCATAAAGGTCTATACATGGATACAGGGAATTGCAATACAAAAGCACATGAAGCGGCATGAATATACATGTGCCGAGGTCTACGCCACCGCACTATAAATGCACTCAAAAGCTAGGAGTGGCTGGGGGTGTACTCGCGTAAACATTGCGAGTGTTGCGAGCAGCTAAATGAGGGAGAGAGAATGAGTAGTAAGGGAGCGAGGCGGAGAAAGGGCATAGAGAGAGAGGGTCAGAGAGAAAGAGAGAGAGGAATGACAGAGAGAGAGGGGGAAGGAGGGAGACGAGTGAGAGAGAGAGAGAGAAAGAGAGAGAAAGAGAGAAGAGAGAGAGAGAGAGAGAGAGGATAGGAGGGAGAGAGAGAGAGAGAGAGAGCGAGAGAGAGAGAGAGAGAGAGAGAAAAGAGAGAGAGAGAGCAGAGAGAGAGAGAGAGAGAGAGAGAGAGAGAGAGAGAGAGATGAGAACACAGATATGAACTTTGACCTATTATAAGGCAAAAGAGACTTGTTTAAATGTTAAATGTATACCATGGAGAGATCACCCAAAGCTGTGGGCATGTACCGAGATACAAAATAGTAAAAAGAGCACTGGACAAAGAAGCTCTAACGAACACAAACTATTACTTGTCCCTCGTCTCGACCTATTCGCATGCAGGTAAATTTCACAGGTATCAATTCGCTTGCAGGCAAAAAATTTCAGGTATCGATTCGCAGGTAAATGTCTGTGTCCGTACGGATGACTCACCTTCCTGTATCAGCGGTCTACTACACCTGCTGACATGGGACACACACACACACACACACACACACACACGCACGCACACGCCGCACACACACTGCGCACACACACACGCACACACACGCGCACGCACACACACACACTCACCGCGACACACACAGCACACACACCCGCACGCGCACGCGCACCGCACACGCACACGCACACGCACACGCACACGCACACGCACACACACACATACACTACGACAACGCACCTAGTTACTTTGATCCAGCTATTATTAGGGTAATGCGACAAGGAAGGCCATAAAAACATCATCACTACGCCTCAACCATGAACATTGATCGTCACGATTCTCACCTAGTAACATACTATCTATAGTCTAGTACTTATGAGCGTAATATCATCTCTACTGCGTACAGAGACGTAATAGATTGCCCTCGACCACATTACGCACACGCACGCACATATAAACACACGTACACACCGCACGACAATATAAACACACGCCACCACGCACGCACATATAAACACACGCACACACACATACACACACACACACAGACACACACACACACACACGCACACACACGGACACACACACACACACACACACACACACACACACACACACACACACTACGACACGCACCTAGTTACATTGATCCAGCTATTATTAGGGGTAATGCGACAAGGAAGGCCATAATAATACAACATCACTACGCCTCAACATGAACACTTGATCGTCAGATTCTCACCTACGGTAACATTACTAGTGTTGTCAATTCGCGTTGTAATTTCATAATCGATCATCGTTGACCCAACGTAACCGATGATCGTTACAATCGGTTACTCGGGGTGTGAAATGCCTGCGTGTGCGTAACGTCGTGTGCATGTACGTGTGTGCATGTATGTGCCCTTGTTTGCCCTGTTTACTGTTTGTTTTGCACTGTTTACTACTGTGTGTATAATACATGTACTGATGTTCATCACTTTTCCAAGTTTTCTTGTTCAAATTAAAAAAAAAAAAAATTTATTTATTTTTTATTTTTTTTCGATTAAATCGATTATTGGATTTTGATAACAAGCGCCTGGCTTCGAGCCACTGTTCAACCGATGATCGAGTATAATCGATGATCGTGACATCACTAACACTTACTATCTATAGTCTAGTACTTTGAGCTAATATCATCTCTACTGTGTACAGAGACGTACATAGATGCCCTTGACCACACTTACGCACACACATATACAACAACGCACACACGCACGCACATATAAACACACCACACACGCACGCACAAAACACACACACGCACACGCACACGCACACGCACACGCCACACGCACACACACACACACACACACACACACACACACACGCACACGCACAACACACACACAACACACACACTACGACACGCACCCTAGTTACATTGTCCAGCTATTAGTATAGGGTAAATGCGACAAGGAAGATAATAATACAACATCACTACGCCTCAACATGAACATTGATCGTCAGATTCTCACCTAGGTAACATTACTATCTATAGTCTAGTACTTTGAGCGTAATATCATCTCTACTGTGTACAGAGACGTACATAGATGCCCTCGACCACACTTACGCACACACATATAAACACACGCACACACGCACGCACATATAAACACACGCACACACGCACGCACATATAAACACACGCACACACGCACGCACATATAACACACGCACACACGCACGCACATATAAACACACGCACACACGCACGCACATATAAACACACGCCACACACGCCGCCACATATAAACACACGCACACACGCACACACACACGGGTCTGCCCACACACGCGAATGCATAAACATCATGTCGTTCATAAGTCTGCAGTGTTGGGGGGGGGGGGGGTTAGAAAGGACGTACATTGCCTGTATATCGGGTGCAGCAGCAGGATAAACCGAGTCATTCCTAAACATTTATCACATACATTATGAACTTGCACCATGTGTACGTCAACATTCACCATTCGTGTAGCGAGAGATCGAACGCATTTAAAATCTGAGCACAAATTAGCGTCGTGTTCATCTGACAGAACACGCGCTAAAGCCTAGCGCACACACCCGAGCAAAACGGGAAATTTTGTTTTTCCAGCGTTTCGCGTTTTGCTCGGCGAGCAAGCGCACACACGCCACCCGACCACAGCACCACAGCTGAGCAAAACATACAGAAACACTGCGTACAGCGCCGTTGTCACATGACATCTAAAATAGCCATCCAATGGACATCCAATTTTGTGTGTCATGTGATATTTTTAAGAATATTGATTGGAGACCGTCTGTGGCGTTTCGCTGTGTAGCAGAACGATTGACGCACACACCCGAGCAAAACGTACGCTCAGGCGAAAACACGCTCCGCGAATCAAACATTGCTTGTTCAGCAGAACACGCTCAGCTGAGCAATGTTTTTTGTTTCGGGAATCCGCACACAGCCACGAACATCGAGCGAAACACGTTTGCTCCACGTTCAGGTGTTTTGCTCGGATGTGTGCGTTGTGTTTAAGTAATGTATAAATTCGGATCATTTGTGGGACAGCACGATGCAGGAAACTTACTTGGAGCCGTTGATGTGGCTGTGTAGGTAATCAGCATGCTCCTGACCCACCATCGCATCCTTCTGACCATGAATGATCAACGTCGGACATCGAACCTACAAAAACAAACAAGACTTTACTTGTCTTCGCAAAAGTAGAATTGTGCTAAATTTCTGGTAATTCCCCATAAGAACCCATTAGTATTTATTTATTATTGTAATTCTATACACGTTAGGTTTTTATGTGGATATATTATTAACATGTTGGGTATATATGAATGCACTCATGCGTGCATAAATGTTTGTGAAATAAATAGAAATACGGTTCTCCACTGACCTTATATTAACTTAACTTGCATTCAGCAATTGCAAGTAATAATATTCGTTTTGTTAATTTAATTTATAACAATTTAAAAAAACGTTTACTTCTGTTTGAAATATTCAACAAGCAAAATTTGTTAGGGGAATAGGAACGTTAACAGCCAAATTTTCGATATATAATTCACACATGATTCGAATAGCTATATAGCATATTTGAAAAGATATTAACACATCCACCTTGTGACAGAATAAAAAACATCCAACTACTTTGCATTAATCATTAACATCACAGGGGTATGAAATAGCTGATGCAATTTTAAGAACATCGTTCAACACAAATTGCCTGCTTAATAAACCATTCATCAAGTACTCTGTATGCGTTAATAATTAAATTATTGCCAAGTGCACAATTACGACATCTCACTTCAAACAGATTGTGTGAAAGCTTGTGGATAATTGTGCTGGGTATTGGTGTTGGCGTTGGTGCTGGTGTTGGTGTTGGTGTTGGTGTTGGTGTTGGTGTTGGCGTTGGCGTTGGTGTTGGTGTTGGCGTTGGCGTTGGTGGTGGTGGTAGATATCAAACATATGCGACACAAAAACAGTTGATGGTATATAATTCTGCACAAGTGCTTCCAATGTTTGGCTATACTAATCATACGTTACATGTTATACTAAATATAGGTTATATGCACAACGACTACATAATATACAGCCCATGATACCAACAACTACTACGACGAATATATCAAACGATCTTTCTTCTTCTCTGACTTTCCTTCTTTATTATTGTGCAATAGTTTAATTGCAGACACTACCAGCCACCTGCTACTGTACCATTAATTAAATTGTAGGCATGGTATTCTAGCTGGCTCATACTATATATATATATGTATGTATATATATATATATATATATTGCATGTAATATTTCATCATGAATAATTTGCATATCAGAACTGATGGTCAGACAGTCAGTTCTGATGAAGCCAGTTATTGCTGCCATAGCAACAAACTACATTCCTCGAGCGTGTATTACCAACCGAGTTGGAACAGCAGGTTGCAAACTGCACCAGGATCAATACATCTACATTAGAGTACCAGTACGCACGGCAGTTTATAACTAACAAAAAAGCCTAGGCAGGCTTGTTAATTATATATGGGTGTATCTGCGTGTGCATGTTTGTGTTCAATGCATGTATGCACATAAGCATGTATCGTGACTGTGTGTATGTGCCAAAGAAAGTGCAGCTAAAAAAAGCATCTCTGCAAGTTGTGACAACTGTTGAATGATAACTTTTCCATTCTCAACAAAAACCGTTGCCGAATTTTACTCAACATGACAAGAAGGTGATATAAAAAGGAGATGTTTCGTTTAGACAATAACATCAGATGTGAATAAAAATATATGTTTTTTCTCGTTTTGATTCACTCCTAATAACAGAATGCTAAAGTCTATATCAGCCTCATCCACTTTGAGAAAGCACAGATGTTAGAATATGTTGATGATCGATTTCATGTTGACGTTAAGAGCCTTATAAGCAATGACAATGCCAACAAAGACATCAATGCGTGGCTGAAAAAAGCCAGAGGTCTATGTAACCCACTTCATGCCATCAGTTAATATAAACTTTATAACCTTGAGACCAGAAAGACCAGGTTCAACAAAAGACACACAAAGTCAGTGTATTGTAGGCACAGAAATGACATCTAGGTACTACAGCAACAAAAGCAGTAGCAGGAATAGCAGTAACCATGGCACCGATATCTGTACTCGTTGTCATTGTCATTACCTCCGCCAAAGCAGTTGCCCCCCTAGAGATTTTCAGAGTATGCCTTTTAATGGGACAAATAGGGCAATAGAGGGCGCGGGGAGTACCTTTGCCCCCCTACAGAAAATTTCCTGCGTATTTGCCCCCCTACAGAAAATTTCTTGCGTACGGCCTTGTGTGTGTGTGTGTGTGTGTGTGCGTGTGCGTGTGCGTGTGCGTGTGCGTGCGCGTACGTGTACACGTGTGCGCGCGCGCGCGTGCGTGTGTGTATGCTTTTTCCCCTTTTTTTGTGGTAAAAGTGGGGTCCGGACCCCCTCGACCCCCCCTCTGGATCCGCGCCCCTGCACCCGTTACTAGGCATTAGCTATCTGTGCTAGCATAGATATACAGTACGTAGAATACATTTTGTATATCTATGGTGCTAGCTTGTGCACGCTCTGGTACAAGCTGTATTAGCTTGTGTACTTTAACATGACTTATAGTCACGCACGTAACTGCAATATTTGTTGTGTCTAGACTACACTTGAGGTCCTTGAGGAATACACGGGGTTGAGTCATGACATAAGCCATACTCCACGACAGATGGCGCTCAGTTCTCAGAAATTGAAAGCGAGAATTTTCAGTACTGAAAATGAGACTGACCGTTCTGAGACTGTGGTTAGCTCCAAGAAACGGTCTTGCTAGGGTCTAGACCATGTATAGACGATCCATCGCACAGCCGTGTCGTGCTAATGACTGTGCCATACTTTGGCTGCAGTCGGCAGCACTGATCTCTACTATACTAACGTACGTTACAGTAGAGATCAGTCACAGGCACTTGAAGCGTATCAACAGTAAACATACGCCGCCGCCATCGCGCGCACACTGACACATGACAGTGTGCGCGCGATCGCGGCGGCGTATGTTTACTGTTGATACACTTCAAGTGCCTGTGAGATCAGTGGTCTGCATGCAGTCGTCAGCAAAGCGGTCGGACCCGGTATCGCGAGGTTTCGACTCTTTCTCTGCCAGCATCCGTTGCCTGATTACAGTTGCCGCAGGCCGCACCCTGCATGCGCCGTACGCCCGAGCGCGGATAGTAAATTGTGGCGTAACATAGCCAACGATACCGTGTCAAGTAATTGTACAAAAACTAAAAATGTCCTCAGTGAGTACTGGATCAGGAATGGAGGACGATGCAGTTGACTACTTCAGAGACGCCTTCGATGACTGGGAAGTTCAGGAGGTAAAACTTACTAGACGATCTG